CTTGGTACATACATTGAACATAATAGTAGAACCTTGATGCACATCATTTCATTTTTTGGATCCTGTTTAAAATGGCCAAATGGTGGCCATTTTGTGTCAAAGATTGCCGTTCCGGATCATATATTCGACATGCCTGGACCGAACAAGTTCAAACTTACATCAGACATTATATCACACATTAATTTTGTTTCATGATCTGATTCAACATGGCCATTTGACAGTCATTTAAATGTCTGTGATACAAACAAGGACTATGTCAATAACTTGTATAATACATTACTTCATCTAGTAGACGTTTTTTTTCAAATGCATGTATCTGGAAATGTGACTGACCTGCTTTTCTTTTTCAGGAAATGCCTTTTATGTTGATGAGAAAGGTGGATGTAAAGCTATTTTCAATGCTGATGGTGCTATCAGAAAGTTACTCTATAATGAATATAAGGATATATTGGTGGTTGTTACTGAGTCACTTATGCTGTCACAGTTTAGTGTCTCCCCAGAAGGACATGTACAAGAGTTAATGAAGGTAGGCATGATTTAGTGAATGCATGAATGAAGTATTGTTTATATTGTACTTTACTGTCCCTCAAAAAATACTGTTAATAGTTTATTGATTTCAGGAATTCTTTCTTTTTTTCATTTGTAACATACTTACCTTTTCAGAAGCAAATCCCTAATAGAAGTACACATTAACCAAAACAAAGACATACTTCTGCCATTTATTTAATTATATACATGTAGTAGCAATTGACTTTTACTTTCTCTTCAAATGATTTATGCTTGTTGTGCTTCTGTTTTAATGAATGATGATCAGCTTTGTTGTATTTACAATGACTTATACTACTCTGTGTAACTTTTATATAAGTACATGTCTTATGAATATGTGTAGTACACACGTGTCTTATTTTATTATTGTGGTGTTTCTTTTTTTTAGGTTAAGCTCAGTGGTAAACAAGGTGAATTTGATGCAATCTGGGCTGGTAGAGGACTACTAGCTATTGCAACAGGAGAAACTGTTATTAGGTAAAAATAATTGAATATAAATCAGCTACTGCTTTAATAGTACACAAATATTTCTGTATATCAATCGTTTTAATTCATCATAATAGTCTAATAGTCTAATAGTAAGGTAGCACTCATATGCCATTTACAATTGTAGTCATTTATATGCAGATAAGGCACCATGCTACAACTTAAAACTGAGACAATGCTGATTTATATACTATTTATTAAGACTATAATGTTATAATGTACATTTGTTGTCGATGAAACGTGAAACTACTAATATTTAATTCAGAACATCAATATTAGATACATGGTTTGTACTAGCATGATGAACCTACGCTATTTATAAATAATATAGTTGTAAAACTACATGTACCAATATATTTAGCCTAGTTGGTATTTCATAAACAGAGGTTTTTGTTTTCTTCACACACAATGAAAGCCTGTAATTCTTTTTCATGTTTTATCTATTTTGTGTTTTTAACATAAAGTTATGGCAAGAATTTTTTTTTAATTATTATTCAAAATTTGTGAAGACTGTCCAGGGGAGGTCTGTATATCTGTATACACATGTACTACTAGTTAATACAGTACAGTCCAAGCATATACACATATTTAGCCAGATTTGAGCTTGCTTAATTTGCTTTCTGACATGTTGTATATCCAAATCATGCATACATGTAGTAGTCTGTGTACTAAATTTCTATCATATCAGTAATATGTTCTTTGTGGGAGTTAAATTATATTTCAATTAAATATTCTCATTTTTTTTTTACACCTCTTTTTGGCCATGATTCTAAAGATATAAAAGCATTTGTCACATGTTATCATTCTTTTATTGCCAGATGCAATAGACATGGGTACCATGAAATTATTGCACTGTGGAAAGCAATGTGTTACTGAATCTGATAATTATTCTGGCTTTTATTGTAGAATGTGGGATTTGGATCGTGATGATAACTATGCCTTATCATTAGATGGACACCAAGGTTTTGAAACAGGAGATTATATCAATTGTATTTCATTCTGTGATGCTAAAGGTATGTAATCCATTGACTTGTAGTTGTATTGCCCACCATAGGAAGCATACCTCAAGGCTTTGATGTGTGTCAGTCATTGGTACCACCTAGCACATACATGTAGCAGTCACCTACTGCACTGACAACTAATGCATAGAAATATGGTAGCTTATCACAGGAGCCAGTTAGGTGTCACTTTTTTTCAGAAATAAGAACCAAATGTCTTTTAAAATTTTTAGACCAAGCTAAAAATGCTAAGACAAAAAATTTTGATTATGAAAAAAAAGAAGTTAATGTAAACTTAAAACATATTTTAAGTTGAATAGTTTTTAAAGCATTGGCAGTTTTTCAAATTTTAGATTAAAATATTATACATTTTAAAATTTAAGAATTGTTCACCTTTTAAATACCAAAATCAGCTTTTGTCATTCTTAAAAAAATAAACCAGCAAAAATTGTGATCCATAATTAACACAGAAATTATAGAAAAATATTGTTTAGGCTTAAAATAGTTAGCCACATACTGTAGATGTATTAATTATTCTCTGGGTTTTAATTTCGCTATTTTTGCTGATAAGAAAAATTTGCTAAATTAAATCTACATGAACACGTAAAATAACAATGAAATACATTGTTTCCTTGACAAATTCGTGAAGTTAAAACAAAGTGAATATGCTCAAAACATCAAAATAGTGAAATTTAATGTTAGTGAAAATAAATGATTTTACAGTATGTTATGGACACTAAAATTGTTTTGAACCATTTAATATGTTTCATCTCATTTTCAAATTTATAGTACATGTGCTTCTAATACTCTGATAGCATAAAAAACAGTACATAAAACGGTGTAAAATATTACACCAAATTTTGGCAGGGAAATATTTCAGCATTCAAAAGATAATACTAGCATTAGACAGTGTGTTGAGTTTGTTATTTCATTTCTTGAAGGTATCTTGGCTGGTGGTACAAACAATGGCCGAGTAGCTCTATGGAGATTCTCACCAGCACAAGGACTAGCAGGTAGAAGGCAGGAAGGTGAACAGAAATGGAAGTTACAGGCACCTGCCAACTGTGATGGCAATATTTTACAGATATCATGGGGATCCAGTAAAAATTTACTAGCTATTAATAATATTGCTAATGTTATAATACTTCATGAACATGTGATGAGTTCACATTTCAAAGATGGGGTAAGTTCATTTTATGCTTGTGTAGTAAGGCTGCTCGTCAGTGTATGCAAAGTGTGTCAGTCAGTGTTTTGGGTTGGATCTCCATACTGCTTCCTCTATGCCCAGAGGATAGTATGTTAGTCTTGGGTTGGATCTGCATACTGCTTCCTCCATGTCCAGAGGATAGTATGTCATGCACATAAATACATGGTTTCATACAGTATTTCTATACATCTAACTATCAATATCATAGCTTTATTATCCCTCGGCACATACAGCTGGCAGGGGTTGTTACCAGCGTCTGTTTGTCTATCCCTTTATACTGGGTCATATCAGAAGCAATATGACAACTAGAGACATTCATACAGTGTTATATTGACAACATTGCATACTGGATCTAATCGAAACAGATTTAATGATTGTATATGGTTGTGTAACCTCTCAAAAAGTGCATAAATATCATATCTGGACCATTGCGGATATAGATATTCAAGCAGTGCCTTGTTGAAGACGCTAGGCCCATAATCTGATAAGCGGAATTAATAATCACATGTTGTTATGTGACCTCATCAAAAATGCATAAATGCACTAATTGTAAATATAGACCAGTGCTTTACTTTATTTAGTATCATCTACTGTGATATAGTGGTACAAGTGTCTGTAGTCAAACTAAAGAAAATTCAAAACTTAAATATGATCTTCCAGTATTGACTGACTGTTTACCTACTTTTCCCATCTAGCAACACATACTCTATATAGAAATGGTCAAAAACTTCTCAATATTATTGTCATACTACAAGTTTTTTGACCATTTACCTATTCCAAATTATGTATAAGCCACTTTCAATACCCCATGTTCACCCATGAGTCCTTCCTCCCATCAAGATAAACATACCGGTAATGAAGATGGCGGTGGATCTGCCTTCTCTGCCAGCTTTCTTGTTTTGAGATGGTATACTATTATATATTAAACAATGAAAATGACATAGTTTCAATGATATAGTGTACCTTTTTCTTTAGCTGTAGTTTGTAAACAAGATTTTGTGAATCAGATCTGACACCATTTTATATATTGTTATTCAGGTTGCCTGTGTACAGACGTCACCCAGTATATTGGCAGTAGATATGTACAATTCAGGTATACATCATGATCTGAAAACAGATATTCATATCAAGGGAGTCTACACAACCAGAGTAAGTACTGTTGAGTTGTCTGTATTCACTCATCTATGTCAGTCAGATCTTTTCTTATTCAACAGGTAGTTGAATTTAAATTATGTCTTTTGTGTATGTTCGTTTATTCGTTGTCACAGCAGTGACAATTTATGTGTTACTTACTAATGTTTGATTTAATCAAGTAATATTTTGCTATATGTTTAGTTTTTCACACGTGATAATAAAATCGTCCACCCTACATTTATTTTAAGCAGTTGTGTGCAAAATATGTCAAATGAACGAGATTTCAAACAGCGACGTTGCAACTGGTATTCATAAATGTAGCCGCCAGATTGATTTTTGACCCCACTGTACCCAAATTCCTAACAGTTCAAATCATGTCAATGACGTATTTGCAACGCCTTCACACATTAGATTTAGGTAATAAGATTTTTGTATAAATTACTGACGAATAAAATGGCTGATTACAATTTATACCTTGCCCATGTCTACAAATTTACAATTCTTATTTATTTAAATTACATTATTACGAAAATAAAAACAATTGATGACAGCTTACAAAAATACTCCTTGCCGACCCTCATTATTTTCTTTATTCTATAAACTATTTATGAAATGCAAGATGTGAGTTCAAATGATAAATGTTTTTTTTTTATTTTTTATAGGACCATGTGGCAATATGGAATGGTAGGAAAGTTGTCGCTTATGAGATTGGACCAACAATTAGATGCCTAGGTAAATAACATAGAAATAAACACCAAATATGTAGATGTATATATGTGGCATCTGTTGATGGTCGTTGCTTGATATTATTTATTTCACTATTGTAGGTACGTTTTCAACCGAATCCATGTTAATAGCTATATTTGATCAGAATGTGTATACTACAGAACCGGGTAAACTCCAAATTAGAACATTCCAGGTGAGTATCAATGGTGTTTATATTAGGCTACGAAAATGACCAAAAAACCATTTAATACGTTTCTAGTCAGCACATCGCCAAATATGTGGGCATATCATTTTTCTAACTTATTTTGCACCTGCACAGCGCCCTCTGACAAAGTGATGAAATTTGCAAAATGTGTGTGCCATGAAATATTTTTGTGTGATTTATATAAAATTTGTATTACTTCAGGTGTCAGCAATGTAATAAAATACAAAGACACCAAAACAAAGGGTACACTAATCACATTTATGTTGTTGAGAATTTAAATATAGACAATGTTTCAGTAAATCTGGATGTGGTTGGCTGGTCATGATGTTACATGACATTCTATACATGATTGATGTATTTTATTTGTTACATCAGTCTTATGCGTCAATCTGCTATATTTTACATGAGACAATTTGTCGCTAATTTCACAAGCACTGTAAGAAAATTAACATTTAGTTATTAAACACGGCAAGTCACAGTGTTTTAAGAAATGTCATCACCCATGGACGCTATCGAATTATCATACCTGGAAAAAAGTGCCTGTGGCGGAAATTCAACAAAAAAGATTCATTTGAGAATACTTGATGTGGAATCTAGTCATCCAGTAGATAGCGTGTAATACCCGGTAACATATTTTTGTTAATTGTTTTAATGAAGGGTACAGTAAAACAACTGTTATCATTTAATGAACAAGAAGGAGAAGTCATAGCTATAGACATCAATGGTTATTACTTAGTTGTTGCCACATCAACCGGTTATCTTAAAATATTTGACCTATCAAGGAGGTAAGTCAGTCACACATCTAGTCTAGGTGTGTTCATAATATTAGCATTGTTGTCTACCACAGTCCATTTTCCAGTGTTATAATATATCTGTTAGAATAAAAGCATGCCATAATTTTATGATATCAACCACAGTATCTGCATCTTAGTACATTGGGAATTACTGTCAATCACTTTATGTGAGATAAATTTGTGATAATTTGTAGGTGTGAAAATTTAATGGTATATCAGTCATTGATCACATGATCACACAGGTTATCACAATAGTTAACATGTCAGCTCAGCATTGGTGAAATTTGGGGTTTGACCCTTGTAGTGGGCTGTTCACAGCAGTGAAAAAGTACAAACTGCCCACCTACCATCCTCATAAGTTCTCCAATATTTTTTGAGGCAAGAATTGGCTAACTATTTGAATACATACCCTCAACATGCTTTGTTTTTTCTAAGTTAAAGTACATATCTGAATTACTTATGTTACAGGGAAGCTAAGCTCCATGCCAATCCTAAATATATACATGATTCAGTCTCTAAATTGGGTAGTATAGTGTCTATCAGAGTTAATTGTAATGGTACCAAGATTAGTATACTCTCTAATAAGGTATGAATGTTATATATTTATGTCATTATTTCTCTTATCTAGCATTGTAGACAAATACTACATGTAGCGAATTTTATTCTGTACTCCACTAATATAAGGCAGTGACAAATTAATTTAAATCCAGAAATACTTATACAGATACTTTGAGATATTTTATTATGATTAATCATTTGCTGCATTTGACATTATACATACCAAAAATAATAAAGTTTCTTTCCATTTATGAAATAAAGTAATCATGATTTTTTCTATATAAAATTTGATAATTTGCTGAATAGACGGATGGTACATGTGACCCAACGTTATATGTCTGGGATGTTGATATGGACAACGTTAGTCATTTTGACTTTGCTGTTGGCCATGGAGATCAGGATGATTTCACTCCACAAGATGAAAGTACTGAGGACCAAACTGATGAAGAAAGGTATACCTTGTTCTGTCTAACCATTACCACATACCTGCTTGTTTGTTTTATCCCACAATACACCATTCAAGATGGTTGCCATATACAATTAGAGCAATGTGTTTGATGCTAAAACATTGCAAACTTTTCTTCCATGTATAACGTGTTATTTTCAATTTTCTGTACTCATTGTTTTATTTCTGTTGTTTGTTATTGCATGTTATGTTGCGATGTGTAGATTGATGCAGTACCAAGGTGTTCAAATCTATCATTATAACCCAGTAGCTGGCCCCACCTGGTAGGAAACTCACAGCATGAAAACCCAACAAAGCACTGTTTGATTGTGTTGAACTTCTGCACTTGATGTGTTTATTGTGAACTCTCATCATCCCCCATTCCCCATTCTTTGTGTGTTGTTATTGAAAACGGTCGTAATCTGCTGTGTAATTCTGTGACATGCTTAATCAGTCTTGTAGTTTTCATCATATAATATCGTATTTTCTCTAATAGATGTACAATAGAAAAACACATGTACCGGTATATGTATTCTGAAAGTGCTATTTACATTTTCGTCAATACTGGTGCACTTGTGTCAATTGTCAAATCTTACATGTATTTGAAAGATATGCTGTAAAATTTTGTCAATAGGATTTTGAGGTTGTTAAAAAAGTTATCAAGACATCAGTTAAATTATCACTGCTATTAAATTTGGTGGTTTTTCTTGACCTGCAAAATTGAATTATTTGATGATACTATATTTGGGTACTTTTCATGAGAATACAAGACAGAATAAGCATGGCAAATGTTACTTAAGGTGAATTGTATTGGTTTGTGTCAGTAGTTATTTAATTTGTTGTTGATATGATTGTATTTGCAGTCATGATGTGTTATTTATTGCACACCATATACTACTCATTTACACATAAAACTATGCAGACATAGTTAAAGGCTATTTATTTGGACCTGTCGTCTCTTTTAAATGTGCTCTTCTTAACGTTGAATATTGTTATTAATGTGAAAAAAAAAACTTTAAATTGGTGAAATCTGGAAGCAGTATTGTCATTCAAACTGAAAAACGTTTTGAACTAGTTAGTAAGCTTAACATTTTCAAAAAGTGTTACTATTAAATAGATGATTTCTGATAAAAACAATATCGATACAATATCAGATTTATTAAACGTTCCATTTGTTCCAAATCTTTGGTGGATAACTAATGAAAATTAAATTTGGAGTCAAATCCAACTGTGGAATGTTTCTCTAGATGTGGGTGAAAACAATTCTGAGAAGGTAAAGTTGGGAGAATTTTAAATGTCTCAAATATATGTGGCTTTTATATCACTTTTATATCACTCTGACATCTAAAACTACCAGAAATATCCAAATTAATATAATTTCTAATAGTAATTCAAGAAATATTATATCATCTTGAGATATTGTTGTTATTATGTGTCAGCCATGATGTCAATTGTCTGGACCAATCAGATCACAAGGATTTTTATGACACAATAAGGAGATTATAACACTGCTTTATTACACTGAACTGCCATGATATATACTGAATTCATTTAAAGCTATTCATCTCAGTCAATATTTATATCAATAAAGTTTTTCATAGCCCAATATATTAACTGTATACAATGGTACAGTATTTCATCTTAAATGTACACATTTTCAGTTTTATTTTTTAATAAGTAATGTCTGCAGATCTCCTTAATTACCTAAGACGATGCAAAATCTGAAACATTGAAACTAGTCATCATTATGTTACATACCCGTGAAATCCTCGCTGTGTTTGTGACACATCACCTTATAAAAATAACAATTTACTCAGTACCTTTCGTTTATTGAAATTAGGGGTCGTTCAGAGGCTGCCCGTGACATAGCAGGCCGATATCCAATATCCCATTATTGGGATCCGCAGGAACCCAAACTATTGGTATGTGAAGCAAAGCTTTCAGCTGCTGCCGTGGAAATGAACACACCAAAAAAGTCAGCACTTGCTTCAGCAATGTATATACCTGTAAGTAACTTGATGTGAGTGATGACAGTGGACATTGGATGATTAACTCTCCAGCACTTGCATACTAACAGTATTCCATGATGAGAAAAAATAAATAACAAATAACAGTGTTGTCTACGTAGTTGTGGACTTTTGTGTTTGTTAAATGCAATGCATTGAATCCATATCAAACACAATTATGCAATGACTTTGCCAGATCATGGTATTAATTGAAATTGAAATAGTTTAGTTTATTAAAGTACTGCAAACCACTGGCCCATAATAAGTACAATTACATCATACAATAAATACATGATGTACATGAACAATTCTGGCATATATAATTAAGGTAGTAGTGTAGAATCACAAATGCCCACCAGTTAGAACAAAATTCTTGCTCTTTTTTCCATTGCAAGAAAGATAAATTTAGCAAGGTTGGCAGAACAATTACGTTATTGGATTTGCATCAGCAAAGAAATTTTCAAGTAGGATGGATGTTCATAATAATATTTTAGATAGTCTGTCAAATAGTATATTGTATAATAGAGCATGAGTGTCAGCTGTGTCATCTTAATCTTAGAATTCTAACCTTTTTAATTCTTTGATAATGAGATTAAAAGCTCAGTGGAGCTTGGCAAGACATTCTCATTGTGTGAAAATTATTACAAGAGAAACAGTTTTAGAAAGGTTTTAGAGTTTCCTCCTTAGATGAAAAACCATTATGACTTTTATCAGTGATTTGGTCGGTGATTTGAACCCACACACCTTCTGACAAAAAGTGTTATCACCTTTTACAGTGAGAGTCCATTTAACCACCAAGCCAGTCTAAATTACTGTTTATTGAATTATTGAATCATATGTCTTTATCTTTGCAGCCAGAAGTCGTGATCGTTTCATTATTTAGTACGTTAGAACATGGTGTAATGCTACAAGATAGTTTTCCATTGGGTGCCACACACAACTCATTGATTGGCCTTGAAGTTCCTTATTTCTACTTTGTAAAGAAGGTAAATATTTTGACAATCAAGTATGAGTGCTGAATGAATGATTAAATACATGTATCAGTTATAGCGACCAGTATCTAAATCTTTTTTTTCTTGTTTCACTATAGCTAACATAACTGCTCTCATTGAAGATTATATTGTCTAACTAACTAACAATGGTCATTTGGAATAATTCAATTTGACTATATTTACTTTGTAGAGCAGTGAAATTGGTCAAGACGATCCTCACAGCCCATTGTCTGGTCTTGGTAACAATATCGGCAGACAAGTTATGAGAGATTTTGTTGGACTGGAAGATGGTGATAAGAGTGCAAGGGATGCCATGATGAATTTTAGCTACTATCTTACCATAGGAAACATGGACGAAGCATTCAAAGCTATCAAACTCATAAAAAGGTACACAATATACCAAAGATTGATTAACTAACAATCATTTCATTTCTCCCAAAATATTCACGGGACTCTAGTCTTGAGTTCTTTTCCCTTATAAACTCTTTCTGACATAAATTGGACCTGCTCGTGTCAGTTTAGATGAAGGTACTGGCTTTGTATCGGCTGATGTAAGCTGTTTATAGTGTTGGTAGATTACTATTGTATTGTCTGTTGTATTATCTTGTGTGAAGTTTGTAGTGTAGTTGTGGGTTCCAATCTGTCATTTGTTGTCAGTGCTTACTCGGTTACATTACTATCTGTTTGGTTTTCTGTTATGTTGTTTTTAGTTGTGTTCCAGTAGAAGGGACATGTTACTCCAGTCTGTTACTTAGTTTAGAAACCATTCCAGATGGTATTCTTGAGTTTTGTAACCTGAACTGTGTTGTGTTGCACAAGCTGTGCATCATCCCCTGGAAACCCCATGCTGTTACCTTTATCTCTGCCCCAATAATATGCACTATTTTCTTCATGTATCATTCATTCCATGCTAGCTCACACTCAGACATTACTGAGGGTAACTTGATTCTACACAGGTAAAATATCTTTAAGATCTCAGTGTAATATTATTCTATAAAATCCTCAAATAACTATCTGTACCATAAGTTTATGCTCTCCCATCGTTTGAATTCTTTGAAACTTTCAAATTGCATTTTATCATAAATTACACAGCATTAACTGCGGGTTCCATTAATATATTGAAGTAATTTAGACAACCGGTAATGGAGATGAGATCGTCTGTTGTCGTTGTCTTCAATGTTATACTTTCTTGTGGTTGCAATAACTTCTGTAATTTGTATCTGATCTTCATCAAACTATATGTTTTGTGAATAACCTTAACACCTCGGTCAAGTTTGATTTTGGTTGCATGCATAATTAATGAGATGTTGACAATTGACATTGAAATATACCCAAGCTTAACTCCACACTCTAAGCCCTTGCATCATTTTATATAAAAATATAGATAATTGTTTATAATGAAATGTCCTGATGATGATTTTCTCAACATAAATAAACTATTAGTTTACAGTGTAGTATAAAATCTCAACCAAGATGTTCAGTGCATGCTTATATATCCATTGGTCCTTACCCTTGCTGCATCTAAAGATATGCATAAATATTAATATATTTTATGAACCTATAAGAGCATTTTTTCAAAATTCCTGTGTCTACATGACAGTGAATATTTATCAATATTATCAATATAATTTACTTGTATATTTAAATTGTTAACATAGCAAATTAACAACAAAACAGAGTAAAAATTACAATGATAAATACTTTTATATTGAAAATACCGGTAATAT